TAAGTATAATTCAGTAGAAACCTCAATATTGGTATGTTCCAGTCCTGAATTAGATTATAATATCTTGGAGATGCATAAATATGAAGAAAACAAGAGAAATACAAGTGGTTCATATTGCAAAAGTTCTGAAGATAATAGTCGTGTTTTTGAGAATGATACTTATTTAGCAAATGCTTACATTGATAATAGTGATGGTAACACTAATACTCCATTGTTTACCAAAAAAGTAAATCAATTAGGTAAACAAATTGTATTCATTGTAATAATTAATAAAAATAATAAATTAACAGTAATAATGATTCTTTTGCAGAAAAATTCAAGAGTAATGGAGGATCATTAAGTACAAAAAAATATAGTAGAAAATTTCAAAGAAAATCACTATCAGAAACAAGTTTACGTATTGATACAAGACATACTAAGAATGATATACCTGAATCTTACAATAATTCTCAATGTATATGTAATTATAAAGAAAAGTTGAAGGCAATTACGTCACCTGAAATTATTCGAGATAGCATCACTCCTCCTCCTAATTATAATGACATGAAAACATCTGAACTTCAGGTTAACGAATTATATTATTCTAATATATTAATATATACATTTATCACACATTTTAATACATTAATTTGATTTCAGATGGAATTAAATAAATATGGATTGAAAATACAGAAACGGAAAAGGGCAGTAAAATTATTAACATACATTTATAACGAATTGCATCCTACAATTAATACTTCAAAGGACACAGAATCTGAATTGACAATAATAAGTAGTGAAGATGATGAACCACCAATGAAAAAAACAAATAATAAAAAGGATGATGTTGATTGTATACATAATTATGAATCTCAATTAACATCCTTCCCCATAAAGTATATTGCATATACCTAATACTGATTTCATTATTTAAATCCTAAAATATTTTCATAAATTAATAGAAATTCCATAATTTTCGAACAGTGCAGATAAACAATTATCAATAAATACAATTGACGAAATAAATCAGTTTGATGAACCTGAATTTACTCCAGTAATTGATAATGCATCAAATATTAAAGACATGTTTTTAAAATTTCTTACTGCTAGAACTGAACTACATAATAAAATTTTGGCTTATGAACCAATATGCATTAATTCTTTGCATTCTATGTTAAAGACAGAAGGTTTCAAATGCAGAATGAGTATCCTTATGGATTTTTTAGATGAACAGGTATCTTTCTATTTTTTTTAAAGAAGATGTGAAATATTGAATTACATTCAATGTAATAAGATTCCAATCTTTTCAGTGTATTACATTTTATGTTCAGGAAACAAAATAGGAAAAGGTAAACTGATTTCTAAGTAAAAAATATACGCGTTTACATATATTAAATGATTGAAATATGTGCATGTATATTAATTATAAATAAATTTATTAAAAATTAAATAGTTACTGTTTTACTAAAAAATAACATTAGTTATTAATATATATTATTGAAATCAAATATCACTGTATATGTTTGCACCTAATAATGCTTATTTCCATATATAAATCGAATTTTATTTGCTTTTTAATTTATTTAATATGTTGTCTTTTTGAAGAATTATGTAAAAATTTATAAAATTGTTAACAATATTTAACTTATTGTTCTACATTATCACATTTTGTACATGATATAATTAATTGTATTCTATTTAATAAAAAAATGTTAATTACTGAATTTTTTTCAGTGGCTAATAGCATTATAAGTTAAATATAATCTCTTCTAACAACAAGCAATTACAAAAAGTAACCAATTAATTAAGTTGAATATAAATAATTAACACGAGAACATGTCATAAAAAAATATAATATAATTAATTTGTCGAATTAAATAATAATTTTTATGTTTATAATATTATTTAACTAATACGAGGTAGAAGACAGTTTATTTCAGGTTGAAGAAACTCCATCACAACAGCTGATACCATCTCATCAAGAATGCCTTTCAAGGCTTCAATATCTCTGAAAATAGTTATACAAGGTTAATAAATTACTTTAAAATTATTTATATTATAAATATGAAAAATATAAACAATTTACTGTTCATCAGGAGAAGCACATAATTCACTGTAATATTTAATTTTGGGCTCAGTACCGCTAGTTCTTAACGTTATAACCAAGCCATTTTTAAATGTAAATGTTATCATTTGACTAGATTTCGAAGTAGGTAAAACAGCAGTATTTTCTGGTTTTGTGTTATCATAGCCAGTTGTTAGATCACGCACACCTATTATAATATACTTCCCATTAAGAATATTTGTTGGATACTAGAAAATGTTTAAAGTTAAAGTAATAACATTGATATTCTGTACATATACATATGTGTATTTCCTTACTGTATTTGGTTTGCCAGAGTATGTTCGTAATCTTTCAAATATTTTCTTGATTACACTTGGCTCATGACAAATCCAATATGAATTTTTAGAAATATGGTGTCCATATCTAAATCAAATATATTTTTTTAATAAACATGTATGTAAAGTGTGGAATAATAAATAGAATATTCATTCAAATAAATATTTCAAATGTAAATTGTGCGATAGCATACTGAGTATATATTTCGTTTAACAAGTCGTGAAGAGTGAGTCCCATAGTTTCAAGATAGGCTGATAATTCTGCTATGTGCATTCCAGCACTTATGCCATCTTTATCACGAACTTTTGAACCACACATAAACCCTATAGCTTCTTCATATGCAAACAAAACTACTTTACCCATTTTTTCTAATTCTACAGTTCTATTACCCATCCACTTAAAACCCGTTAAAGTTTCCTTTAGAAACAAAAAGGATCGTATAAGAATAAAAATAACAAAAATACTTCAAATTTATTTTCATCATACTCACTTCAAAATTAAATCCTTCGTGTTTAGCCATTGATGCTAAAATTTTACTTGAGACTGTTGATGCCAACATGTATACACTTGAGAAATCTGTATCAGGATGTTGTACTTGATACTTATGCATCATCCACCATCCCAAAAGCGCTCCCAATTCATTACCAGAGAAAATATACCATTCATCACTATTAGAGAAATGCAAAAACTTATTAAATGGTAGATACGTATGTACATTGTTAACAAAAGAAACAAATAACATACTTTTTCATTTTTGTAGCACAAGCTAGTCTATCTGCATCAGGGTCATTGGCAAGAATAACAGAAGAAGAATTTTTATCTGCTACTTGTATGCTAAGATCTAAAGCACTTTTTCCTTCTTCTGGATTTGGAAATTTAACAGTTGGAAATTCTGGATCAGGTAACTTTTGCTCTTCAACTACTATAAATGGCTGTAATATATAGAATAACATTTTAATGAATTATTTGAAATAGAATAGAAGTATACAATTTCTTTGATATATAATAAACATTCAAACCATTAGAGCAATACCTTAAAATTTGCAGCATTAAAAGCTGCAGTCATATATTGATATCCTACACCATGCATAGGAGTGTAAGTAAATTTTAATATTGTATTTTTATTCACTTCTGGATATAAAACAGTTTCTTTGAGATCATTAAAATAGGATTGCATAACATCATCCCATGGATCTTGATATAAAGAACTGTGATGGACTTTTGTTACTTCCCATGAAGATTCCATTGGTTCAAGATTTTTGAGTATATATTTTTGGATTTCTTTATCGTGTGGTGATATTATTTGTGCACCATTTTCCCAATAAACTTTATATCCATTATCATTCTTAGGATTGTGAGATGCTGTAATCATTATTCCAGCTGCACACTTATATTTTAATACACCATAAGGTATAAAGGGAGTTGGTACAACTTTTGAAAACAGATATACTTTTATATTTCTTGCCACAAAAATTGCAGCAGTCAATTCTGCAAATCTAAAATGATATGTAAATCTTACATAACATTAATAAAATTTTACAGACATAATCCATATTTATGTAATATATAATAAATCAAATAGATTCTATAATAACTAATAATTGTAAATTGAATATCCTGATTAACCTTTTACTGCAATGACGTCCATCATATCCTATTATGACACCTTTTTCAGTTACATCAACAATGCTATCAAGTAAATACATTGATAACCCTTGGCCAGTTTGAACTATAACTAAATCATTCATTTGACTATATCCTGGACCCATACAACCTCTTAAGCCAGCTGTACCAAATTCAAGCCTTTTTAAAAATAAATTAAACAAAACTTTATTATTATTGTTAAGAAGTAGCTCTTGAATTTCATGTTCAGCAACTGCATCCTAAAACATATTTCATAAACAATGTAAATATTTAAAGATTAACATAAAAAATACATTTTACATAAAATATCATTAAATTAGAAACCTTGTTCCATTTTAACCATTCATTAATTTTATTATCCAACTCAATATTTCCAGTATTAACAGAAATTTTTACAGCCATGTTAAAAATACATATATCCCAATACAGAATAACCTAAAATATAATTTATAATTATGCATAAAATATTTAATATATTATCCATATTAATTGTACTTAAAAATGTAAACAATAGGCAATGGAGAAGTAAATTTCCATAGCTTAAAAAATGATGTATTCTTGTATCATAATATATACGGTAACTGAAATAACGATCGCAAACGAACTTCAATGATCAGTAATAATCATTGTTCATAATCAGTAATTATCATTAACAAATATTGCATTGCTATTTTTATAATTGTAATTAACAGGTTTAAATAAAAATAGAAAAAGATACATAGCTTGCAAACATATATAGAAAGTCATACTAATATTGAAATATTATTAATATATATTTATGTACATGTATACATGGAGGGTAAAAAGATTATAATACAGTAATAAATTCGTTGATATCTACTTAAAAATTAAAATATTTACGAATGAAATAAAACATACCTCAAATAAATAGTAAAATGATAAATGTATAATGAAAAACTGGAACTCACGTAAAGATAATCTGAATAGTATGTTAGATACTGACTAACCTGTTATCAGTATATATCATACCCGTAACACAAATCAGTTGATTCTTCCAATGCGAATTTTTGTTAAATGTTAATTTTTCAAATATTTAATGGACAATTTATATTAATTCATAAGTTGAGTATACAAAATAAGTTGTTTCTAATTTGTAAAAACATTTTTCGACTGTAAGCGGTGGTCAGTTCAATATACATGAGGTATGTACATATACACGTAGAAAATTCATTCAGATTGTTTTTACTTTCAAGAGAATGTACGTAACAATGTTTGTGCGGGCTGTTTAAATTTTTGTATTTATTTATATTGTTATTACTTAATAGACTTAATAGATCGATCAGAGATGACAGAATTTACCAATATTAAAATGCTACTAGACAAGAGGTTACATTTCAACCTCTGATTTCAACCTACTATACTAACTTATCAATTATTATATTTTTATTTTCTTTTTAGCATGAATGAAATTCAAGAATAGTATATTTAATTTTTATCTTTGGAAAAGAAAACAATGATTAAGACTGACCAAATACTTCTCTGGCATAAGTGTAAGGCTTGTTACATACAAAAACTGAACATGCATTGGTTTTTTATTAAATTGCTAAGAACTCTATGAATAACAGGTATTTTTGTGTTTGCATTTTTATCAGGTTGTGTTAATAAATTATAAAATTAAAAAATTGTGTCATTGTATATTTTATTTTTAGAAATTGTGCATTTAAGTATTAGTTATGTTAATTGTGTCATAGACAATATTCTTATAAAATGGATATTGGAATAGTTAAAATTGCTGAAGATAAGGATTTTGAGAAGTTGAAACATTTATATGATGATAATAATGATTGGAGATTAGATTATAATAAACCTGATTTATCAGTTTGGACAAAATCTGTATCAGGAATTAGTTTTAGAATGGTAAAGGTATGTATTATTTCTGTTATTTGCAACTGAGTTTTCTATTTCTTTTACATATTTATAGATATTTAATATTACTAATGGAAATATTTTTCAGATTAGAACACGTTTTGCCGATGTTCTACCAGAAACATTATATGATGTGTTACATGATCCTGAGTATAGAAAGGTTTGGGACACCCATATGATTGAATCAAAAGACATAGGCTTTTTTAATCCAAATAACGATATTGGTTATTATTCAAGCAAGTATTTAATATTATTGACTAATTCTATTTGTATTTATATAGAAATTATAGTTGTTTGTATACAAATAATGTATATATATATATATAATATATATGTGTATATCTATGTATATATATATAATCAATTAGTGGCCTGTCCATCTCCATTGAAAAACAGAGATTTTGTTCTACAAAGATCATGGCTTGATACTGGTATAGAGCAATTAATTTTGAATCATTCTGTTTTTCATAAAGATTATCCACCAAGAAAACAATTTGTACGAGCAACATCTTATCTTACAGGTATGATTTAAATATTGAAATAAAATTTATTTGTCTCTGTGTATTTTTTTACTTATTTATTTATCTTATTTAAGGATATATAGTAAGACCATCTCGAAATGGTGATGGCTCTGAATTAGGCTATGTCTCTCATACTGATCCACATGGAAAATTACCAGTATGGTTGGTTAATAAAGTTACACAAATATTTGCTCCAAGAGTATGTAACTTTTGTGTTAATTACAATTGAAACTTTTATTTATATTAAATTCTCAAATTAATTTCTTGTTTTAGATGGTTAAAAAATTACATAAAGCTTCTGTAGCTTATCCTAATTGGAAATTACTTAATAACCCAAATTATAAACCTTGGCATTTCCCTGAACAAATTGCATCACCACGTATAAGAATTGAGGATGTAAGTCCTTCTTCTGTAATTTCTAACATCGAGCATTATAGGTTAATTACGTTTTATGATAAAATAGTAATTATGATTTTAGATACAATAAATTTATTTATAAATTGTTTGCAGTGTGTAAAGTCTGCAGAAGAAAAAAATTCAAAAAATTATTATGTTGATGAATCAGAATTAAAAGAGTCAGTTACAATGGACAGTGATTAGTTTTATTCATGAAGTAGATGTTTCCATTGTTAACATTAAGAAAATAATATAATAGTTGAAATTATAAAATGCAGTATTATAGAAGTTTGTAGTATCAACAGAGCTTGATGAAAGTTAATTTATTCGTGTAAATGTGTATATAACTATATATTATCTATATACACATCCACACATCTAACTGCAATTCATTAATTATATTGGTAATATTAGTATCACAAATAGTTATATGGCCTATTGCAATGAATGACAGTATGATTAATAAGAATACATCATGGCCTGTCTTGTATTAAATATTATATAGTTATAGTTCCTTATTGAATCGGTGATGTATGTGTTGTTGAAAGTATAATTTGTTACATGTGATTCAACATAACGCACAATATGCAGGTTGTAATTTTTAATTTATGTGTTTATCTATTTTTATTGTTTTATGTGAGTATTTAGGTATTACATATAATAATTTTTGTATATATGTATAAAAATTATCATTGAAGGTACAAAAGATTTACATATTGTCTACATTAAATATTTATTAAGATTAATGCATTATAGCTCGATACATAGATAATGATTGTAGCATCTTAATATTACAAGTGCAATTTTAGGAATATTAGAGAAATCTTAGTGTTTGGATACAAAAATAGCGATCACATACAACAATATAATTATTAATTTTCTTAAAAATGATACTGCATAATATTATTAGTTATAGTTATTAGTTTTGTACTTTGTAATATATAATTGTTGACTTATTTTGTTTTATTTATGTTAAAATTTATGTTACTTATCATATTTTTTATATTACATCTCTATATATAACTTGTCTAGACAATAGGTAAATATATATCTAGTAAATTATATAAATTTTCTTGCTTTTACCATAGTGTAGTTCTTCTATTTAGAACCTTTTACACATTGTAAAAAGAATTAAGCTTTTCTATATTTATTAAATATTCTGCTTCAATTAATGCAATTAACATATCCTATTTATACAATGTCCTATTTACATTTATACAATTATGACATTTATCTCTTATAATAACACATACGTTTTGTGATTTTCTATATCTAATAGTAATAACTAGTTTTCTAAAGTATATGTACATGCATATTTATACTTACATAAATTATCAGAATATACATTGGTACTTAATGTGTTATTTATGAATTTTTTCAATGTGATGAATATTTCAATTTTTTGGAGATAAACTGATTCTACATATTTAATTTTATATGTCATCTTTCGTACATTTAATTATTTAAATGTTTAAAGTCTAATTGCATTTGCTTTAGAATGTAATGGCCTTGATAAATTTAAGATAAAATTTATTTGTGTATATTCAGTACATTCTAGTCATACTAAATATTTTTATTTCCTAAATTACAGTGTCAATTGAAAGACAAATAACTTGAAATTTCTGTATATACATATACTCATGTATTTATGTGATTAGAATTTTTACATTATACATATATATTTCTGTATGTACTTACATAGCAAAAGATAGTTATTATATCAGAATAATATTTGTGATATTATTTTTAGGAATTTTGAAGATGGTTAATGAAGATTTAAAAAAGATGAGAATTGTATTACTTTTTAAATCTACCAAGTAATTATTATCTTTGTACGAAATGTATTGCAGCAGAACAGATAATATGTATTTTATTCAATTTAAAATAATCTATATTCTTATATTACGTCATTCATTGTAGTTTGGCTGATATTGATATCCTGGTGCAAGTTTATATATACAAAGATGATATAAAAGTACATAAATCAATTGTGGATTATTAATTGATTCTTATGTATTATTTTTTTACTTGTTTTAAATGGCCTCTATTTGTATACAATACAATTATATGTATGATTGGTGCAATTCATTATTGAGGTAATTGTTATTTTTATCTGTTATGTGGAAATAATAATGATATACTCTATATATTTTTATCCGAATATATTTAGCAAATTGTTAGAAACAAAATATTAAAATAATGATTGGATTCCATATAAGCATTACTCTTCAATGAAAGGGTTTGATTTGATGTATTTCATAAATTTGATGTAACTGTTATTAAGTTTACGATGAGAAGAAAAAGTTCTAGTATAGGTAATTGTAAACTTATTTTGTACCAGGAAGCTACTGCATGGCCGGAAGACAAACGGAAATAAAGAATATATATATATAATTATAAATTTATTTCTGTCCATTATCACTAATTTTACAATTTTATTATTAAGAGGGTTAACAAATTTCATGCCTATCATATAACAAATTATATGAAATACATCAAATAATATTTGTATTGTACTATATTTGTGAGTATATTATATTAGTGTAAGTATTTTTTATATTAACAAGTGCATATAATTACAATTTAAGTATGGAAAATTTTTATATTAATATTAAAGTTTAATGTAGTGTGTTATACATTGCCTGGCACTTGATTTGTTTAAAATGTACTGTATGAAGATGATATAAAATTGTTAAAATTTCTAATTAATTGGTATGTTTTATTTTCCCTTTATTCTTCTGTATAATATTGCATAAAAAGGAAGTTTTTTAATAGAATGGATAAAATTGTTTAATAACAAATATTTATTAAATGTTAAAATAAAAAACATCATTTATTTAATATAAAATATTACTGTTATCATTCAGATATTTTTATTATTATATCATGTATGATATAAAAAGACTGTACAATTTTCTTATTTCATAAAGATTTGTTCTTAAACATATACAAGAAATACAAAATAATTCTAAAATGGTGCTTGAAATTTTGTATCCGTTTTCTATAATTAAAAATAAATAATGAAGTTTCAATAATCACAAACTCACACATTCTTTGATTTGAAAACGTTCTGCATAAAATAAAAGAGGCATTAAAAATTCACAAAGTATGGAATCGAATTATTATTTAAGTGCATATTTATGCTGATTATATATAGCGAAAAAATGTATCATTTTAAGTTTAAAATTAGCAATTCACATGTTACAGTTGTTACAGAAATCAGAAGTTTATGAAATTATGTTCATTATTATATTTTTATTATAGATATGTTTAATGAAATAATTATGTTTTTCAAGTTTCTAGACACCATTTTAGAATGTATAATGATCACAATATAAATTCTATACGTTAATTTATACCTATATGTTGAAAAATTACTTTTAATTAGTTTGATTTTTCAGTGTTGTCAATTGTTCCATGTACTCAAGATATAATCTTTGCCAGCGAAGATGTCCTCCAATAACAGATAATACATCTTCCAAAAGTTTATGCTTTTTAATCCCCTATATAAAATACAGAAATATGATACTATGCTTGTAACTAATAATAGCATATATAACACATAAAGAAATAGAAACAAATAAATGAAGAATATATACTGAGATAGTACCAAAATTAAAGGATCCCATATGCTCTTAGAAGCTGTTGTGTGACTTGGACCCAAAAATTCATCTAGAATTAACCTTAGACGTTTCTCTAATCCGTCTGAAAGAATATTATTTTGTGAAATATGATAAATAATTAAAATATAAAAAAGGGCATATACATATTTGTATATATGCTTTTTTATATTTTAATTTTTATAATTTAATATATATACCTTGAGTTAATAAAAATGATACTAAAGCCATGAGCCAATGTATGTATTCTTGAGCACTTCCAAGAGCTTTGGAAGCAAGTAGCTGTTGTTCTAAATATGATACTACACTTGGAGCACTATGAGGTAACCTCGGATTGGGTAAAGTATTTCCAGCTGTTCTAAACAGTCCTTCCTGCAAAGAAGATAATGGACCTCTGGGTGCTCTATTTCCAGATGCACTTGATGCATTAAATGAAGCCCAACGCCATATAGGATCTTGACTGTCACCAATGAGTAGCCATGTACCTAACAAGTTTTTTTAATAAATGTATTGTATGTAATGTACAATAAATAACCTTATTAGTTAATATAATTTATATACCCATTTCTTTATGATATATATATGCTCTAGCGTTCGTGAAAGCTAAATGGGGCATTCCATTATATAAAGTACAGGACAATAAAGAGGTACCAGGTACTGCTAAATGTGCAGCAGATGTAGAAACTATCATTCTACACGAGTATCCTATTTCCCATACACGTACAGCACCACAGCTTGAAATAACCATTACCTAAAAACGTTTATGTGTATTAAACAATAATTATTCTTAAATTAAAAAAAAAAGTAAAAAGGAAATTAAAAAAGGAATTAATACTGCATTTCCAACTGCATGAACTTTTGCAAGTGGTGCAGGCGGTGCTAATGGAGGTGCTGGACGGCATCCTTTTGTAGGATGAAATGTATGGAGGCTACCATCTTCTAACCCAAGTGCTATAACTGTCGGTGATGCTGCAAGCGCTACAGCGCTATATCCCAGATACAAATCCCAAGTAGGTTCAGAATCTGTGCCTTTAAATACTTGTAAATGAGCTAAACCTTGGCTGTTAGTAACAGTTACTGCATAGTGACCAGCTTGTTGAGACAATGAACTGGACGGTTTTAATGGAGGAAATATAACTTGATTTATATTTCTTTCAGATGCAATTTTTGGTTTCTTGTTAAATGGTGTATGATATGATTTTGGAGTCGACTGGTCGCGACGTTTTAAGGTAAGTGTAGAAGCTTGACTGTTTATATTTGTTGAATTTAAAGACGAAGTAACATTAGGCGTTACGACGTCGTTTCGTTTCTCAATAACAATAGAACTTTTTACTTGGCTTGTAAATGTTGGAGTTCCTAGTCTATTATTTGACGAATCCCTGAGTGAAAATTATTAATATAAACTAAAGAACATATAGAAATTATAATTTCGTAAAATTACAGTCTAACTCACATTGTATCAGATGGTGGTGGTATAAACATTGGTGTTATTCGCCTTTTACCATCTGATGTTCTTGTTTCAATTTGCTTATTAATTGGACCTTTAGCAGGAGTAGTTGTAGTAGTATTGGGTGGATGTACTAAATTTATATTTGGAGGTGCTGAAGTTGGTTGTGTCGATGGTGTCGATGTTTTTAGATTAAGAAGCTCGGGTGCTTCCATTACAGTACAACCTCCTTGAACCAACGGTTTACCATATAATCGTTCATGAAGACTACTCTGTAATGAAATAGAAATAACTATTTATTTATTACTATTTGAAATAATTCATGTAGGCTGCATACTTGTTCAGCAGGATCTAATGGTTGACCTAATTCCTGCTGTGTGAATTCAATAAGTACAACAGATCCATCCCAAGAACAAGCAGCTAATCGAAGACCACATGGTGACCAACTAGCATCTAAGACTGAATGTGTAAATAATTCATGTATTACTACTAAAGGTCTTTTTAAGGACGTCAACCAGACGGATAAAGAACGATCGCGTGATCCTATAGCAACACAGCAATACTGTTTAGAGGAACCTGGCTGCTTTTTTTGTAAAATGTTACCATTAAATCTCTGCAACATGTGGAAAGTTAATAAATTAATTACTTAATAAGTAATTTGACACATGTAAATCATGAAATTTATATCTTGTGCTTAATATATACCACGCAAGTAACAGCTTTACGATGACCAACAAAGTCTTTATCTTGTGTCCATCCATCTCTTTCAATTATTTGAGCTGTGGGACCTCCACCATTCATTGCATGAG